GAAACTTCAGCTTTCTCACTTATGTAGCTTTTATATAACTTTTTATATAGAATTTTGTTCTTGAAATGCTCTATATAATTCCCGATCATGAATCTTTAATGATCTTTTCAAAAGCTTGATGGCCACTACCAATGAGAAATTTTTCTTGTACAGTTTGAAATGTTTTTTGACCATTCACAATTTATAACACTTGAAATTACAGTTGACTTTGAACAAAAGAGGGGTAAAAGGATGACTTCCTACACAGCAGAAAATCCACATATAACTTCTGACTCCCCCAAAACATAACTACAAAGAGCCTAGTGGTGACCAGAAGCCCTACCAATAACATAGTCAATTAGTAAATATTTTGGATGTTATATGCATTATTTACTGTACTTTTATAATAAAGAAAGCTAGAGAAAAGAAAATGTTAAGAAAAGCATAAGGAGGAGATAATACATTTGTAATACTGTATGGTAAAAAAAAAAATCACATATAAGTGGATTTATGTACTTCCAACCCATGCTGCTCAAGGTCAACTATGTATATTTTTCTTTGACTTAATATTTTAAATTTACAAATATTACATCATTCTAACATGTCCTTTTTTTTCTTTCAACATTTCACTTTTCACACATTGTGCTTAGTAATTCTATTTTTCAATAGTGGTGGCCTAAGACTTGGACTAATCACTAAGAAGTAACCAAGGGAACTGGATTTAAAACATTAGAAATTGTCTTAAACCCATTGATAAGCCAACAAAACAGCATGCAGATTGCCAGAGTTAACTCTGATTGCAAAACTGAACCCAGGAAAGAAAAGGAAAGTATCAATAACAAAATTAAATCTGCCATAGGGTCATTTACTGATATCAGAAAACTTATGTTTATCCTTTTAATTTCATGGGTCCAGGGACTTGTAAAGGACTCTACCCTCAGGCTCAGAGTGAACCAAAAGTAAACCCGGCCTTTTCTGACCCTAACCCCAGAAGATTGTAGGGAAGATTGCCATAGTGTTGAATGAAACAAAAGAAATTAAAAAATGAATAGAAAAATAAAAACTTAACCCTAAGAATTAGTGGCAATCGTCCAGTCATGGTGAGGATTCCCAGCCCAAGTTCTCAAGACCTGGGTGGGTCAGGAAAGTTCATGTTCTATATGTGGTTTAAGGTAGCACCCAGATGATCCTGCACAATAAAATTGGTATATGGTAAACTAAAGTATCTCTGGAAAGAGTAGCTTTACCCTATGCCTTAGGGAATCCCAACAAGTAATTTTGCGCAACAGGGCACACAAGGAAATAAGCCCCAGTGAGTGAGAACCTGCAGAAATAAGGGAAAGAATGAGATGGTGAGTAGGAGGCGAAGAAAGAGATCAGGATTGAGAATTCAGTTTAGTAAATTACTTGGCAGTGGCAACTATCCCGTAGTATGCAGTGGAAGTGAACAGATCAGAAGCCCACTGAGTTTTTGAGGGAACTGTATAGTCAAAGAAATTGAGATCCTGGACTTAGAAAACCATTGGCTAGTCAAGTTTTGGGTGCCCCAAATTTCATGGCAGTAAGTGGGCTGCACAGCTGTATACTCCAAGGAGAACAGAGTCCACTCTGGTCCACTCATGGTCATTCTGAAGTGGCCTTGGAGGAAAATGAACAAAAACGAATCTCCCGAGGGCACATCTGCAATACTAGTGGCAAACGGTGTTGGCTATAATGTGACTTCCTGAGAATATAGGAATCCAGGGGAAAGCAGTACACATGGGATTCCTAAACCATTCCTGATGTTCCATACATAGATATGTTTTGGCCAGCAGAGTTGCAAGTGCTGTGAAAGGTAATTTCATACAATGACTCTCACTCCAGCGTCACTTCACGTATTTCTAGATTCCTCTCCATTTTTGTACTAAGAAGAGCTAAAACTTACTGAGCCCTTCCTTTGTGGTTGGCACTAAACACTTTATTAACTTAATTCTCATAGCAATTCTATGTATTCCCACTTTACAGATAGAAAGGCACTTTATAGATAGATAACTAAGGTACATAGACAAGGAATTTTTCTAAAGTCACGCAGTTGTTAAATGGCAGGGGTCTGATTTGGCTCAGGTAGTCTGTCTCCAAAATCTATGCTCTTAACAACTTAGCTATACCACTTCTCAGGATGGAGTCAATTACCTCTCACCTCCTCAAAGGCTTTGGAGATACTTCCTTCTTTCTCCTACATCATATCCATCAGCATACATGATATAATTTTCCCCATATTTTAAAATAAAATCTCCCTTGAGCATACAGTATGTTCCAGCAAACATTTCTCTGCCCGAACTTTCTGGTAAAACTTTTCAGAAATGTTGTCCATATTCATCTGCATTGGCTCTCTTCAATCTCTCTCATCCCAGTCTCTGTTTTAGCCCCTCCACCTAACCTTTTCATTACAACCACCCCACTGAAAGAGCTTTGGTCAAGGCCACCAATGACCTCCATATTGTAAAACCTAATGTTGAATGTAAGTCTTCATCCTGTTTTTTTCACTTGGGTTCATTGAAACATGTTCTCTTACTGATGACTCCCAAATATAGATCTCAAGCCCAGATTCAGAGCTTCCGATTTGTATTTTTGACACATTTACAACATCTTCACTTTGATGTCTAAAAGCCATCTCGAACTTACCATGTGTAAAAACAAACTATTGATCTTTCTGTTACAAAAGTCTTCCCCAAGGGAAGTAAGGTTAGGAAAGAGAGACCGTTTCCTTTCTGTTGCTTAAGCTAAAACCCTTGGTGTCATCCTCAATTACTCTTCCCTTTTTAACTGCACACCTAATCCCTTAATAAATCCTGTTAGTCCCAACTTCAAAATATAACATTATACATCCCATCACTCACCTCTGAGTCCTTACCTCCCCCACCCTAGAAACTGTCAGGAAACTGATCAGAGACTTTGAGCAACAGAGGTCTTCTTTGTTGTTCATAGGAATCTCCTCTCTTCCTGATTCTGCTTCTACCTACCTCACCACAGCTTAATTAGTCCATGTGGAGAGTACAGGATTTCAGAGAAGAATGGCAAGAAAGAGAGTTGTCTTTAACTGGTTCTGCTTCCACAGGTCATGATGTTCCCATGTAGCAAGGAAGACCAAAATTTGGCTACCTGCTTGGAATCGAGAGAGAGAAAACTATAGGGAAAAAACATTTTAGTAAATTGCCCTGCTAAAGTGAAAGAATAGTTACTCTTTTTAAAGAATATATGGGGAACTTGAGAGGGACAGAAGTAGATGCAATGGGAATTAAGGAAAAGAATACCACCATTTCTCAACATGGAGGCACATGGAGTATGAAAATGAAACAGCCACCACTGGGGTAGTTTGCAAAGGAAGCTTTGACTTTACAGAAGAGGCTGTTTTTAATTTAGGCAAAGGGGTGGAGGGAACGTTCAAGTTGTTTGAATAGAAAACAAGGCATTTCCACTCCACTTTGGCATTAACCAAATTAAAAAAAAAAAAAGCTAGGGTGTGGTAAGACAAAAACTATTAATGTCCAAGTGTTCCATGAAATCTGATCGTGATAGTAGGTTAAATATAATAAAAGGCAAATTTTTGTGGTAAGCAAGTATAATTTCCTGCAACAAACCAGCATCAGTCTCAAAAGTAAAGGCGACACAATCTTTGCAATCAAAGCCTAATCTCAAAGGAGAGCTTATCTTGGGAAAAAATAAAATGATTCAAGTTCATGACAACAGGACACAAAGTAGTTATAAATCCTAAAAGAAAATGCCATTACCCACAATATGCCTACTGTTTATACCATTTTCTTCAAAATAACTGTTAAATATTTTTTTTAGCTTTACCTTTATCTAAATAATAAGATACACAGGCTAACTCAATGTATTGTATTGTTCAAGTTCAATATTTCCCAATGTCTAAAATTCCTGCTATTATAAACCTGTGTTCATTGATTCTAACTTTAATCAAGGCAGAATATATATTTGGAACTTAATGATTTTTACTTCTACAATAAATACAAGTCTTCTCCCTGAGACCTTCCTACTTTGAACCCGCTGCATTGTTTGCAGGCTCTATTCCTGCTTGGAAAATCTCGTATTTCTTCTACCATAATTCACATCCTATCTTGAATGCCCCCCTGCCCACCACTCACCCATGTAGCGAAGATAGCTCAGGCACTCTCTGTATTCTGTACAGGTGATTACTACAACGCTTGTAATTCTACACTTTCTCTCAGTAAGTGTTAGTTTTGGTTTCTCTGTGATAGAATATAAGCAAATTGAAGGCAGCCACTGTATCGTAGTGACTTTGACAAGCTCACACCTAGCACATGGTGACCTGCTCATAGTAGGCTCTCAGATATTTTTCTAAATGACTGAATTGGTGTTATCCTTGCTACCACCCTAGGAAGCACCAGACTGTCACAGCGTAGGCAGAGGAGGCTTTCTCATTTAACTAATTAATTAGTTGTTGCATATGTGGCTATACACAGAACTTTCAGGAGAGTTAAAAGAGTTTCCGAACATTAGAAACTATTCTTGTTAGGAAATTCTTGTTAATCTGATTAGTTGTGACAATTGTAGCTAGGTTGGAAATACGTCCTTATTATTAGAAATACATATTGAATTATTTATAGCAAAATACTATGATGTATATGGAATTTAAAATACTTCAACAGCAAAACAGATGAAGCAACATAAGAAAATAGTTATTGTTAAGTTTAGTTATCTGTGTATTCTAGTCTATTCCAACACTGGTAAGATGATAAGAATGTATAATAATCTAGAAATTAATATGATTGCCCTTAGGTAAATCAGTAATAAGGGACACAACTCTACTATGAGACTATGACATGCTTGACAAAGTACAATATGGTATAATTTCAAAGTAAATGAAAATGTTTCACCCCAGGAGAAGCAAAGGACAGCATTCTAAAATACTTACGGGAGGCAGGAGAAAAATCTATAATTTAGAAATAAATTATTTATATCCAAGAAAATAAATTTCAAATACTACATGAGACAAAAAATGTGATCAATTATTTATTTCTATTTAGGGAAAATAAATTTTTCTTTACATATCTTCTTGAACTTGTCTTGCTATACATGTAAAACCAATGCATTCACTGACATAAATAAATATAAATAAATTAATCTCAGTATTAGAAAAGAATAAGATTTACAATTTGGCTATGAACATCTCACTTCAGAAATATAGACTCTTTTCTTATGTTAATATAATATTGCTGGATACTTTTAGAGATATTAAGTTAATGGAGACACCTTTCACCCTTTCATAGGGTTTCTTCTCCAAGAGGAAAAAAAAAATTGTCCTTAAACAAAATTATAGCCAATCCATCTTACTTACAAGTGAGAGGCTAAGTCCTGACTGGATACCTATATTTGTGGGACAAAGAAAGAGTTATTCCTTCATTCTGTATTCCTCCTTTGCCACCAACGAACCCAAGAAAATCAACATTCTCACATCATAAGCATGTTTTCCCTTTAAAATATTTCCTAACACATTCAGACTCATTTTAATGGAATGAGAAAAGAAGAAAATGCCTTACAATCAAGAGTTATTTTATAATACAGTTCATCTCTCTTCAGCAGGTTTGCTCAGAAGAGGCTAGGTTTTTTGTTTCTTTCCAATATCCAATTACTGTTTTTAGTTTTTAATTTTCTTTGTAAACAAAAATAACACTACATATCTAGTGAAAAAAAAATGACGCATTTCCTTTTCTTCATGCTCACGTTCTAAGTACAAACAAACCTCTACGGTTTCCTAAACTTTGAGGAAAGTAATCACTCTAAATCTTGCAAGTTCTTCTATTTTCAAGAGGTTTGGGAGTGTCCCAGGACAGATTCGCTTCTCCTTGCTTCGTTGGTTTTCCTATGCATCTTAAGGACAATGATAACATGCGAAACGAAGAGCACTATTACATTTATTTTGTCCACTCCTCCAGAAAGGTCTAAGAAACTAGAAATATTCTGCATACTGGTGTGCATTTTCTTCTTAATTCTTCTTCGGCTAAATTAGCTAGCCAATGGTTACTAGCATCATAAACAAGACTGTCAGTATTATACCTGTGTGTCCTGAAAGTTAAAAAAGAGAGTTAACATCAAAATAATTTTATTGACTGATGATACACATTAATCTTTTGGGTTCGATGTGATAGACAATGAAAATTAATCCATAATAGGGCATGCAAAACACATGCAAAGTTAGTAAGTTATCCAACCTCAGCCAGTTTAGTTATAGGAAATATAGCTATAGCAAATAGGTCACATGAGTTTTTTAGTTTCTTGAAATTAAGTAGCCAAGTTAGAATTGCTTAAAGTACTTCCAGATTAAGAGTCAATGAAAACCCCTGACACATGCATTAGAGAAAAGTTTCACCAAAAGACACTTCGAGGAAGACACGTAGAACATTTTGTAGATTCGTTTACATTAAGTTACTGTTGTGTCATAATTTTGTATAACATAAAGGAGATAAAAGATCTATAAGCATGACTTACAAAAGATACCATAAAACAAAACTTAATTCCTACACACTGGAAACTCTTAAAACCCACCAAGCAAAAAGGAGAAACAGTACAAGTCAATCATTTCATGATGCAAACACTCATAAAGAAGGCATTCCTATTTGTAAGCCCTAAAGTATCCACTTCTCGGTTTCCCCCCCAAATATTTGTGGCATCACTAGTATCCAATCATTTCAGTAAACTGAGTGCGAAATACAAGATGAGATGGTGAGTGGAGAATGGATGACATCTTGCTAATGACAGATCTAAAATGTTAGTCGCTCAACGAAGAAAAACCAGTCTGACAAGATAATAGAGGTCTGAGCCCCTATTATCCTTGAACAGTCATGGGTAAAACATGCCCTGGCTGTACTGATGGACATTTTGCAAGACAGAGAAGTATGACTTCATAAAACCATATACCTTTTATGATTTACCAGGTCTTAACTTCTGAGGCATCACCAGTCACACTTAAATTATGAAACATAACTTTGCATGGTTTGTTGTTTCTCATGAGTGTGTAAGAGCTGAACAGTAGAGAAGGAAAACACTAGTTGAATTATATAATTTCCATTTCAGCTGAAAAGCAGTATCAGCATTTCCTTACAATCACATCCCTTTTAATTAAACTTATGGGAACCCTCCATTTCTAAAAGACATAAGGAAATCCTTGTTTTTTTCCACAGTAGTTTTGCTCAAGCATCTGTACCAACTTAACCCACTTTATAGGACTTCAAATTCTGTTCATTTTTGGTGGACTCTAAATTACATTCTTAAAAAGTCCCTGAAAAATCTGGGGTTATAGTTTACTACATCTGCTATTAAGCTTCTAGAACACTCGATTGGCAGTAAACAAGTATCGACTTAAAAGCCCACAAAGCCCAGGACCCAGTGCTCACATTATTTTAGTAAAAGACTTAACGATTTAGTGATTTAATGAACATTTACACATTTTAGCTTATAATAGGCTTCAATGATATTGTTAATTTAAGGAGAAATAAGAGTTACAGAGGGTAAAAAGTAGATAGCTCACATCACCCCCAAAATTAAAACAGGCCATTTAGTGATAGCATTAGAGTTGCTTTTAATTAATGGGGAAAAAAATAGGCATTAGGACAGTTTAGAAATAATTCTAGTTTATATAAACTCCATGGTAAATTTTCTGAACAGTAAAATCTATAAAACAGAGGAGGGTCAATTTAAATGATCCTCTGTCTACAGCATAGGTCAGAGCCCACTATGACATTATACTTAACACATGCACATTCAATGCAGATCAGATGTTTCAAGTAATACTGATTTCTTTTCTATGTGCTGTTGTTCAACCATCTGAGGGCTTACCATGTGCCATGTTCTACCTTCTTTACAGGGGGCAACTCATTTGATCTTACTATAATCCTGTGAGGCAGGTGTTAATATGTCCCCCCAATTTACAAGTAAGAAAAGAACCACAGTTGCCCATTGTCACATGGTGAGTAAACTTCAACCCCTGGGAGGATTCAAATCAAGCAGTCAGGCTCCTGGACCCACCCTCTGAACCAAGGGGCTGATTTTAGCTGTTTTGGCATGTTTTCATAAATATAACTCAGAAAAAGGCCTGATCACAGGCAACCTCCCGAATCTGATAGAGACTGATTTTTCCCTAGGTTTTTGCTTCTGTGTAACACACAGATACCATCAGCAATTATACTGAGTAGGGAAAAAAGGTGAGTTGGCTAATAGATTGCGAAGTGAGAATGGGGCTTTCAAATCACTTTCCTTTGAAATGTTAATGTCCTTGAGTCTCCTGAAAAATTAAAGAAAAAGACACAACGTCTGTTCACCCAAGGCTGTAATGACCGAGAAAAGAAATAAAAAGAGAGCATGTTAAAAAAAAAATACAATTAATCAAAGAGGTTACCTTCTGATACAGTGTCAAGTTTTACTGGAAAAGAAGCTAAGAACAGGTTTGTTTTTTTTTTTAAATCATCAGAATTTCTGCTCACCCTGATTTTCCACAGTGCCAGAAAATTTTGACTAGAATTACGGTACCAATTACAGTACCAGCAAGTCCTTGAGGAGGAAAAAATGTGGTAACACAGTTAATAGAAACACGAGCAAGTACATACATAATGCAGTCTCACAATGACAAACACACCAGTTATGAACCAAGTTAAAGAAAAACAGGAGACACAAGTTACATTTTGTATGTGGCTTTCTTCTGTCACAAGTTTGACAGCAAAAATTGCATGCTACTTATCCTTTCATTCAAAGAAAAAGGAAATAAAATATTTAAAATATCACCATGCTCAAATAGGATGTGTTTAACCTACTGGAGAGAGTTCCAAAGTGTTTCATCCCCACCATGCTCAATTGTAAATGCTTTGATCATTGGTCGGTCAAATATGATGACTGTGTTACGTAATTTTAGCACTAGACGGTGTCTTGGAGTTCACTCACATTGTGTAGATGAGTAAACTGAGTCTCAGAGAGATAAGGGCTATATATGTGGTTAATGGGAAGGCCATTTACTTTGTTCCTAGTAAAGGTAAGAGCTGTAGGCATTTCCTCATCACAGGAAAGGTAGTATCACCTGTGCATGGAGGCTAAAACCTATTTATGTCACTTACAGAATATGCTATTCAGTGTTTAGCCTGTTGTAGATACAACTTCATTTAGGAAAGCTAATACTTCCTTTTGAGTTTAAATGCACTATTTTGAGTTTCATGACAGAAAAATAATTGGTCAAATAAGTTGGTCAACAGTAATTTTTATAGATTGATTTTTACATACAATCTTTCTTCTCCAAACCACCTGTGAGCCCTAATACCATTCTTGGTCTCCCTTTTCCTCCCTACTCCACCCTGCAATGTCCTTGAGCTCTATTCTTTTGATCTGTATTGCAAAGGCAATTAGAGAGGACACTAGGAAAGCAACTGAAACTAATGTGACCAAATCACAAATTGGTTCCAAATCAGCAAAACGCTCAAGTCACACAATTTCACTGTCGTATGGATACGTGATTCAACAAAACACCTATTTCTACCACAGGTAAGTTTTTACAGTATTTTACCCAATCAATTTCTTTAATGGATCCCCTAGCACCATACAGTTATTTTGGAATAATTCATTCATAAAATAAATCATGGTTCCTCAAAAATTTGGGGTTTCTTTTCCCTTTGGCACTTCCATTAACTCCACCATTTTCAATGGTTGTAAATCCCATCCCCAGTTGAATGATAAATGAAGATAGAAAATTTTAAAGTGATCCAGAATATACAGATGGTAGAACCAAAATCGTATTCTTAGAACACCGACAAGCACATACATGTAATTCTAGAAGAATGTGTGCAGAGACTGATGTTTTCACAGGAAACTAGATCAAAATACAGAAATATGAAAAACTGGATTCTACATAAATGGTTCCTCAGTAAACTAATAGGAGTATTACTTCCCAAATTATAAATAAAGAAGACTTTAAAGTATAGAGGCAATAGTTATGATCTCAAAATTCTCTTGGTACCTATGGAAAATGAACCCAAGTGTATATTAGTGCCAATTTAAGACTTATAACTCAGAATAAATGACACAATGAAATTATGACTATGATATCAATGTTCTTAATTGTTAACTAATGAGCTTTTAGGTAGGAAAATTATGTAATTTTAGAAAATGGATTTCTCTAAATAAAAGGATTATTTTAACAATATTTCTCATTATATTTACAGTATTTAAGACACTGTAAAGCAGTTTGTCATCTTGTATCTCATTACTCCAATAACTAGCACAGTACCTGGCAAATAGTAGGATGTGTTTAGAAAATATTTATTAAATTGCGTCAAATGATCTTCTTTTTGCAGATGAAAAAACTGAGATCAAAAAAGGATACATAGAATAGTTTATCAACAGACAAAAACTGATTTCTAATCCCAGGTTCTGGTCAGAATTTTAATTCATAGTATGCTCAAGAAAAATACCTGAGGTTATTTGAATATGATTTATATTAGTTTGGTATTACATTAATATATACAGTATCATCTCCATTCCTGAAGAAACTGAGTCAGAATTCCACATATAAGATCTGGTATTAATTTAAGGATTCTATTTTTGAAGAAATGTGGGTTTGTCCAATCACTTCAAAAGGTCTCGCTTACATACTTAATAAAGTGGAAATGCTGTTCATATACAAAATTAAAAACACTGTTAATAGGTTGTTCTTCCTTACAATACTATTTAACATAACAGAATAAAGGAACTGAGGTCTATGCACTGGTGAAGTCACACCGGAAAGAGACTTTTATAGAAGGAAAGAGAATGTGCTTCAGTAAACCTTACATTTTCAGATTTACAATTCAGAATTCAACACCACTTCCTTGGCAACATCCATAGGACCCTTGAAGGGTTTTGTTATTATCATTGGATTTTCTTTGCCTCTGTATTTTATGCTTCGCTTGCCAGCCTAAGCAGATCAATGAAAAACGAGATGATTATGTTGTCTGATTTCTTAACTTTGAATAACTTGTAGATAATTGAAGTCACTTTACAGTGGGATTTAAGTTCATCCTACAGAGAGACAGGTAGTAAGACACGGTGATGACCTGGTATCACAGCATCTGATGCATTTCAAATTACGACTGATGATTCCAGATTCTTGAAAGTACGCCTCCACTTGGGCTGGTCTGCACCATATGCCAGATGCACGTGGATGGATGTATAAAGCCAAAGTTAATCAGCATGTGATATTTGAAGGATACAGAAAGAACATTTTAGATATGTCACTGAGTAGTCCCTAATTTTTTTCTTAAATATTCCTTCAACTGACCTATTAATCCCCATAAGAGATTTATGAATATCATGACATAGGATTTCAGCAATGGTGGGGGGGTAAAGAATCAGGACTACATCAATTGTCAGATTAAAGTTGTGCAGATTTCTGCATAGGACAAGAATCTTTCTATCCTTTCAAGTACCTGGTGCTGGAGAAACGAGTCATCTACCTCTGTTGAAGCACCTAACAGATGTGTGACCTTGGGCAAGGTACAAATCGTGCAAAAATCATTCTTTCAGATAAAAAAATGGGATATAAAGGGGCGCCTGGGTGGCTCCGTCAGTTAAGCCTCAGCCTTTTACTCAGGTCATAATCCCAGGGTCCTCGGATAGAGTCCATAGTCAGGCTCTCTGCTCAGTGGGGAGCCTGCTTCTCCCTCTGCTGGCTGCTCCCCCCACCTTGTGTGTGCTCTCGCTGACAAATAAATAAAATCTTTAAAAAAAATTGAAAAATTGAAAAAAACTAAAAATGGGACACAGATATAGATATTATATATATGTGTGTGGGTATATATACATATATATATATATACCCACACCCCCTCACACACACACTAAACTATAAGATGTTTTGAGAAGTAAAATAAAAATATAAAAATTTCAGTAGAGTACTTGCCACTCAGCAAAAATGCAACTCTTACCTTAATAAAGGACAATTCTTACTCTTTGGTGTGGCCAGAGGGAATGATAAAACTATCAGAAACCCATTCTAGGAAAATACCAGTGACAGCACTGCACGACTGCTTTAAGCTAATTATTCAATGGTTAGCATTGTGCTGGAGTTTTCGTATCTATTATCTCATTAAGCTTCAAAGACTTTAAATAAGGATCATAAATGAGAAAACTGGGACTCAGAAAGATTAAGTTCAATCACTTGTGTTGAATAATTACTACGTTAAGAAAGAAAAGAGAACCAACAGGATTCAAACCAAAGATCTGACTGACTCCAGAACACAAGCTTGTCTTCTTGACAATGTTGGCATAAAAAAACAAAAACAGAAAACAAAAGCAAAAATAAAATAGAACTACATAGAGCATGTATTCTCAATGGGGGTGTTATTATCCTAAAAGGGTGAAAAAAAACCTTACTTTTTAATGTATAAAGTATAGATATACAGAATATAAATAGATTTACAGCCTATCTGTGGTAGTAAAATTTCACGGGGGTGGGGGGTGATTAGGGAAAATAAAAGTCTAAAAATTTCCCTGAGCGGGAGAGGGCAATAATGAAAAAAAGATTTTTGAGAAGCATGGATATGGAGCCAGCAGAAGAATAGCTTTAGACCTCAAAATAAAGTCTTCATTTACATGGCAAATAAGGAAGTTCTGAGATTAGTCAGTCTCTCTTGCTTAGCAGAATTAAATGGGAAAATATTCAAATACTTCCAAAGTTCTAGTATCATCTATATCACTCACTAACATTGCAGTGTAATCCAGAAAAACAATTTCCTCGTCAGTAGAGTTTGCTTATCTTTAAAATAAGAAAAGTGGCAGGAATAAAAGGCACAGTGTAAGGAACTTAGTCAATGACATAATAGCTTTGTATAGTGACAGATGGCAGCTACTCTTGGGGTGGGCACATTGCTTATCCAATCACTGTGTTGTACACCTGAAACTAATGTAACATTGTGTATCAACCACAACCAAATTTTTAAAAAATTGATAAAATAAAAACAAAATGAGAAAAGTGACCCAATGTACAGAATTGAAGAAATAAGGATAATTTTTAGGTTTATACTGTGCAAGTGAAGGTTCCCAAAGAAAAAAACTGCCATATGTCTGATTTAAGAGGGAATGAGCTCCTCTTTATTTCTGAGCAGAAGTTGCAGTAACAACTAACCCTAAGGAAAAGTTTCTGGGGAATCACATAGTGCATACTCCAAGAATTCCAGAGAAAATAAGCACCTTGAACCTTCATTAGATGCCACTGAGAAGAGGAGAAAAAGCCCATCCTCTAAACTCATCTCTGTTAACATTAAATGATGAAATCATGAAGTTTTCATTTAGAATACATTTATTTCTATTGAAAATATCAAACAAACAAAGTGAATCCAACTGTTCAAATCTTTCAAGATAACTAAGGAGAGGTTAATTCAAAATATAAAAGAACTATAAAAGAACTATAAATAATAATAATAATTAAAAAACACCTTTTCAGCTTCAGTCCCTTGTTTCACTCATGCATGCATAGATAGGAGACCTCAGCTTATAAGGACATAATTTTAAAATATTCACTATTTAATGTGCATATTTTCTACTGGGCATTCCTTTTTAACATGCCAACTTAGCTGTATTGTTTCTTAAACATTTCTTTTGCCATCTTCTTTAGGAGTTATTAATCTTCTTGGTAAAATGTATAACATCAAATAATATATTTATGAACAACAAAAAAGGACTGGAACAAAGAAGAAGCTGCAACACGGATATGTCCTTAAGTCTATAGCAACAGAATAATTTTAAAGCTATCTTTGCTTTAAATCACTGACAGGGAAGGGAAAAGGAACAGGATGTAATCAAAGGTAGCATTCTGGTTTATCTGGAACAGAAGTCTAGAAACAACCAACGAGTAGCTTGTGAGTACTTGTAAAATACTTGAGGCTTAAAAACTGTATTGACAATAGCTTCCTTATTGTTGTTTTTGGCCCCTAGAATGATAATGTATTGAGACAATAGGCATTCAGGGATACTTGACTGACTGGCCAAATGATGTGAAGTTGCCCTAAAATTACCTTGGAACAAGAACACGGTTGCGAAGACTTAGGAACGTACCGGCTACCTAACGGGGTCCACCAAACACGTCGATAAAATGCATTTACCCGTCTTCTCCCTGACCTTAAACATTCCATCTTAATAGTATTCCTAAGGCAGTAAAAAGACAATATTCTCCTCCAGGAATAAGGACTGTACATCCCACAGTGATGACAATTTTTTTTAACTGCCGAAGAACCAAACTTACCAACTGCAATGATGGCAGCATCTGAAGAAAAAAAAAAATGAATTACAAAAATAAAGAAAAATACATAAAGCCACAGCAGTTTAACATATATATCCACAGAATGGACTAGAAAGTTCAAAAGTAACTCAGATTTTCATAACTAAAAGAAATAATTATAAATAGATTTAAGGAAACAGTTATACAATAACTTAATCAAGCAACATACACCCTAATAGATATAATGCCTGTATCTATTCCACAGTGAACCCCATAAACATGAAACACGATAAAGATTTAGTGAATACTGCAACAAACACCATATTCAGTTATATGACTTGATGGCAAGAAATAAGTTTGAAAGGTTGCATAGTAAATAACTGAGATCTAATCTTATGACCAAGAAACTATTTACCCCAAAGATACAGATGTAGTGAACAGAAGGGCCATCTGTATCCCAATGTTCGTAGCAGCAATGGCCACAGTCACCAAACTGTGGAAAGGCCCAAGATGCCCTTCAACAGACGAATGGATAAAGAAGATGTGGTCCATATATACGATGGAGTATTACGCCTCCATCAGAAAGGATGAATACCCAACTTTTGTAGCAACATGGACGGGACTAGGGGAGATTATGCTGAGTGAAATAAGTCAAGCAGAGAGAGTCAGTTATCATATGGTTTCACTTACTTGTGGAGCATAAGGAATAACATGGAGGACATTAGGAGAAGGAAAGGAAAAGTGAATTGGGGGAAATCAGAGGGGAAGATGAAGCATGAGAGACTGTGGACTCTGAGAAACAAACTGAGGGTTTTGGAAGGGAGGGGAGTGGGGGGTTGGGTGAGCCTGGTGGTGTGTATAGGAGGGCACATACTGCATAGAGCCCTGTGCATAAACAATGAATTTTGGAATAATGAAAACAATTAAATTAAATTAAAAAAAAAAACTGAAGTCTCTCTCAGCAGACTTCTCAATTACTCAAATTACTATAGCACCTTAACTTTTACACCTTTCAAGGACTGTGAAAGTGGCACAGCAAAAATTACTTTCCAATAAATATATTTATAATAATACGCTGCTCTCCTAAGTGGCAAACAGATGTACTCAAAGTACCACTGAGAACAGGTGACATTATGTGTCAGAAGAAAGCACAGGATCTGGAGTCAGCAAATAGGTGTGTTTAACTCCCAATGTTCTCCCTATTAACTGTGCACTATATGAATCACACAAATTAATCTCTAAGCTTCTAATTCGTCACCTATGAAATGAAGCTAAAAAGGCATATGTTGCTGCTGCAAGGACGCATGTCCAGAGAGGGGAAGGGCACAGTACATACAACTATGGTGCAGACCCTGCAAGTGGCAGTGACTACTTTCTTTTTCAATGTGAGCAAAAAATGGTCTATGATATTTGAAGAATAAATTAATTGCATAAAAGAGAGAAATCTGACCCAAATAGTAGTTGTATTTTCATCACAATTATTGACTCAGGTTTAGTTATCTTTTTTTTTCAGGTTTGTTTAAGTTTGTTAAATTGTCTTGAATTTTTTTTTTCCAGAAGGAACTATTTCAACAAAGTTGGTGCTCTAACAAATTTATACAAGGTGAGACGTTTTTCTCGTTGCCGTCTTCTATGAAAAATCAGGTGTATTCAACCTAAAACTTTTAGGCCCAGAGAGGTCATGAAAATTGAAGAAGTCAGTAACCTCTTACCAGTTTAAAAGTAATGAACTAGGAGAGAAATGGAAGTGGCCCAGCATACAATATCTGTAATGTTTAAATTCTTTAAAAAAGCCAGGTAAGGGCAAAAAAGGCTTTAAGATAACAACTGTGAAATATATGAAATCATTATGAAAATATGGTCACAATGTGTTGAACTATTTAAAAAAAATACCCACGATTATTTGATGCCATCAAAGAATGACCAAAAGTGGGCAGGAATGGGTAAAGATTTTGTGTATATGCATGTATTTGGCTTTTTAACTTGAGGGAATCATGAAATACACAAAGGAAATATCAACAAGGGTATCTGTAATGTTTCAAGCTCTTAAAAAAAACTGTCTGGGTGATGATGCCAAAACATATTCCATCAAAGCAGTTACGAAATATGGACAAAATATGGAAAAGCAATCATAACAATGATTTGAAGGCACTGGTGGGCAAACTAAGACACTTAGAAATGGGTCAAGGGCAGAAGAGGGAGAATGATATGGAATGAGGTTTGCATATTTGCAATGAGGGGAGCAACGAGGCCATGCGGTGCACTGGCTAAGTAAGAGGGGTTAAGTCAGATGAAGTTCAGGATCATCGACAGAGCATCTGGAAAGTGAGGGGGCAAACGTGAGGGGCTGCTAATATTTTATTTCTTAAAGTTGCTAGTGGTTCCACAAATACTTGCTTTAGAAAAGTTATTGAGCCATACTGGGTGTTTCATGCAGTGTGTGTGTGTGTGTGTGTGTGTGCGTGTGTGTGTATTTCAATCAAAAAGTTCAAACAATTTTAAAAAATTATCTACTGGTTCACAGTCCTGTTGAGATTTTCCAAGAAACTGGAAAAAAAATAGGTATCTCTAATAGAGAATAAGAGTGTCTATAAAAATTCTGGCTATGCATTAGGTAAGTTAATAGACAAGGGGACATCCTTGGTAGCCCGAAGCAGAACTAGCTAGTAAGAAGGGTTTCCTTCATTCACTCAACACCTATTTTTGAAGTCTACAATGTATTTTACTCCACTTTGATAAAAAGTGTCATTTAAAGACCCTTGTGTAAATATAGACTATTTCAAAGAATTCTGTCTTTTAGTTACTTAGAAGACACTGTAAGATGCTTTACCAAATTGGCAGCTCTACAGAATCTGGAGAAATCTTTCAGCATGCTTAAGAGATGGGTCTCTATCAATAAACCAGAACCAGAAAATGGCCATAAGGATGGTACATATTTGGTTCTCTGAAGGGTCTGGAAGATTTCAAGGACTCCCTAAAGCTCATATAAAAAAAAATTTCTTTGCCAAGCTTAATTTAGCATTGTTTTCTTGGAGCCCCAATCTTTTTCTATATTATTGCAAAATGTTTCATCCTAGAACACTCCCCATCTGCCTCTGAAGATAGTCAAGAGCATTAGTATGAAAAACTCTTCCCACCATGGCTCCTTAGATCCCTACTCAGGAAAACCTGAGCAGTGCCAACTAACCTGAAGAGAGGGTCCCTCTTCCGCGAGGTGCGCTGGTTGTCCTGGGAGTAGCTGAACTCTGTTTTGCTGTAATACGAGCAGAGGTCAATCTTTTTGTTGTATGGAGACCCTTAGTCACTGGGGCATGTATAGCAGTGGACTTTCGTGTTGCTGGAAGACTGTGTGTAAATGAAGCTTTTGCTGTGGAGGATCTATGGGTTGCTGGCATGGCCTGTGTAGCAGACGCGTTTGCCACGATGGGATTCTGGGCTGCTGGCGGGGTCTCTGTAGATAGAGCATTTGATATGGGGGATTTTTTGGCTGTGGCTGAATCTTTTGCTGTGGTGGGTTTCTGAGGAGTTGAGGGGGTCTTTGTAGCTGAAACATGTACTGTGTTGGGATTCTGAGGAGTTGGTAGGGCTTCTGCTGCTGAAGAATTTATTGTGTCAGGTTTCTGAGGAGTTGATGGGGCCTTTGTAGCTGAAACATGTACTGTATTGGGTTTCTGAGGAGTTGATGGGGCCTTTGTAGCTGAAACATGTACTGTGTTGGGTTTCTGAGGAATTGGTAGGGCTTCTGCAGCTGAAGAATTTATTGTGTTGGGTTTCTGAGGAGTTGAGGGGGTCTTTGTAGCTGAAGAATTTATTGTGTTGGGTTTCTGAGAAGTTGGTGGGGTCTTTGTAGCTGAAACATGTACTGTGCTGGGTTTCTGAGGAGTTGGTAGGGCTTCTGTAGCTGAAGAACTTATTGTGTCAGGTTTCTGAGTTGATGGGACTTCTGTAGCTGGAACATTTACTGTGTTGGATTTCTGAAGAGTTGATGGGGACTTTGTAGTTGGAGCATTTATGGTGGTCGGTTTCTGAGGAGCTGATGGGACTTTGGTACCTGAAACATCCGCTGTAGTGGGTTTCTGAGTTGATGTAGCTTCGGTACCTGGAACATTCCCTGTGGTGGGTTTCTGAGGAGCTGATGTGGGCTTTGTAGCTGATGCATTTACTGTGGTGGGTGTCTCTGCTCCTAGTATGACTGCAGAAATCTGAGAACCTTATAAGGAAGAAAAATGTTAAAAAATATTAGCTAAATAATGCCTTCGAGTTAAGACAAAACAAATTGCTTCCTCTATGAATCCTCTCTTTCTCCCCCGCAAAGACCTAAATATGAATACGACTTTTAGGAAACCAAGTCTAATTCTGATTTTCCCAAGGAACTGAAACACTGCATTGCCTTTGCTTTGATATAAATTGACCTTTAGTCAACTGGAAATGGGTTTATAACATAGTAGTACTGAGGTTCTTAAACTGTTTTCTGTGTAAATAAAAGAAACCAAAGTCAGAGTTGGTAGTGATCTCATTCTGTAACACACCCCAAATTAAGATACTTTCTCTCAAAAAATGTTTTCCTTTCTCATGCCAAGACCAAAGAACCAGAAAGAACCACTGGACAGACAGAGGTAGTCACAACATAGTTCCTTTTCCCAATGCTTTCAGGACATGTTAGTGATCCTGGGAAACTTGTTCTGTTTTAGTCCTTTTTTAAAGTCATACATTCAATCCGAAAAAAATAACTATTTTTCTCTTATGCTGGTTACCAACATTACACATATTAGATTGGTCTCCCTTTGGATTGCAGATCAGGTCACAATTATCTGAAGTGAAACCTTGATTAAATCCTATTCTGAGGGGTGCCTGGGTGGGCTCTGCCATCGGCTCGGGTCATGATCCCAAGGTTCTGGGATGGAGCCCCGCATGGGGCTCTCTGCTCACCAGGGAGCCTACTCCCCCCCCCCCGCCCCCGCCTGCCTCTCTGCCTACTTGTGATCTCTGTCAAATAAATGAGTAAAATCTTAAAAAAAAAAAAAACTACTAAAAAAAAAAGAATGCTAAAAAAAATAAAAAATAAAAAAAATAAATCCTATTCTGAGAATTGCAACTCTAACAATTTAATACAATTTTAAGTCTTCCTTCAGTGCCTGTCGGACTTTGGGCTGCTTCCACACCCCCTCTTGCCAGCTTCCCACACACTGGAGACCGCTGTCCATTTCCTTAATCCCACTAAGCTGCCATTTCTTCAACTGAACAACAATAAAAACAAAGCAGATTTGAAAAAAAAAAAAAACAAAAACAAACAAAAAAACCACAAAGATTTGAGAACATTATTCTAAGGAATGAGAGAAATAATTCAGGTAAATTATTTCACACAGTGCCTATCCCTGAAGGAACACACTAGCATTCCAGTGTGCGAGTGCCTGCACCACCAGCACACACATCCTGCCCTGCGCCCTCAGACACCATGTGTATTTCCGCTTCCTTGTATCTACCTCAGAGGCGGGGGATGGGACAACTCACAGAAAATACCCAGCCAGTACCACAGGACTGAGGCACCCAGAAAATAGTAGATGGTATTTTAGGGTAAGATTTTATATGGCCCTTTCCTCTCAGGTACTCATATATAAAACTTACTCTTTGTTGTACCAGGCTAGTTCTGGTTTTTGATCCAGAAGACCTATGTGCTAATATAGTGTAAGTTTCCTGGAAATTGCTTTTCTCCTTACCTTTTTGTTATTTTGTGTCTTGTTGACTCACATCTGCCATCAGCATGCTCCAAATTATTTCAGCCTTCTGAACTGCACTGTGATAGAGAGCCCAGCCTATGGGCAATGTTCCAGCACACTTGAAAAAAAACTTTCTCCATCTGTCCTCATAGGGCTCAATGCCCTTAATATGTCATTTTTTTTTTTAAGTTTAACTGTTGCTTCTATATTCTTACTGATTTTTGGTTGCTTATTCTAACACCTCTTGAAATAGGTATGTAGAATTCTCAAACTATAATCATGGATTTATCCATTTTTCTTTCTGCCTGTTTTCTGTGGATTGAAGCTTTTTTCCCACAGTGCTCATAGATCACAAATTGTGATAGATTCATGCTGAATGGACCCCCTTTATCATTACGAACCACTGTATCTTAAAGTATTCTTTGATATTAATGGAACTACACCTGCTTTTTCCTTTTTTGGTAATTGTTTGCAAAGTATATTTTTCCATCCTTTCTTTGGACCATTCAGTGTTCTTCTCATAAAGTTTTGTCTCTTGTAAACAGCAAATAGGTTTTTTTTTTTTAAGTTATTTTTTTTTAAAAATTTATTTATTTATTTATCTAAGAGCGAGAGAGAGAGAGATCACAAGTAGGCAGAGAGGCAGGCTCCCTGCTGAGCAGAAAGCCCGATGAGGGGCTCAATCCCAGGACCCTGATCATGACCTGAGCTAAAGGCAGAGGCTTAACACACTGAGCCACTCAGGCGCCCCAGGTTTTCTTTTTTTAATTCAGTCTGACAATCTGACTTAAATTACACTCTGGGTAATTACTGATAGAGTTGGGTTTATAGCAAATATCTCACTATAAGTTTGCTCTTCCACCCATCTATTTCATGTTTCTCTTCCTCTCATTTCCTTTTGGATAAAGTGCTCATTTATCATTCCTTTGTTAGGTTATGATTCATAGTTTCTTTCACTATTATTTTCATGGTGACCCTAGAGATTACAGTATATATTAGACTATAAACCAATTATGCAAATTAACATTTTACAACTTTTAGGTATTGCCAGAACCTTGTAACTTAAATTCAATTTACCTTTTATTGCCTTTGGCTCTATTGTTATTACACACTTGCTTTCAACATACCAAACCCCAGTGGATAATGCATTTATCATTTTGTACAGTCCCTATTCATGTACCTGTTCTAATGTTCATTTTGTCTTGCATTTTCATGTTTTACTTGAGATTATTTTCATTCTCCTTGAAGGAATGCCTTTATTTTGTTGTTGTGTGCAGGTCTGGTCTGCTGGGATAAGTACTCTCAGTTTTTGTGTGAGAACATTTTCATTTGGCAATTTTAAAGGATATACCCATTGGCTAAAGAATCCTAGGTGAGCACTCATTTTCTTGTCCTTAACTTGAAGGCTTTCTTCTCATTCGTCTTTGGCTTCTATAATTTTTGTCGAGATGCTTGTGATCAGTTTTTGTGTTGCTCCTTTGAAGATAATGTGTCTTTTGTCTCTTGGTGCTTTTATCATTGTTTTGAGTTGCTAAAATTTTTGCCATGAAATGCCGGGAACTGGTTTTATTTTTATTCTGCTTAGAGTCCTGAGAACCTTTGGAATGTATCAACGTATTTCATCATTTTTGGAGCATTCGGTCATCTCGTTGAATATTTCTGCTCCACTTTCTCTCTTTTTCTATCTGCCTCTCCTCTTAGCTAACCTATATTAGAACAGTTTCACATGTCTCAAATACCTCCTAACTTTTGTCTATACTTTACATTCCCCCCACTCTTTGTGCTTCTGGGCTTTATTAATGACTCTTCCTCCCTGTTCCTAATACTGGCCCCAAATCACTGTTAAACCTATTGTGATCTTCATTTTAGATTTTATATTTTTCAGTTGCAGAATGTCTCCTTGACTCTACTTTTATAGGTTCCAGTTCTTTGCTGAAATTCTTTATTTCTCTCTTTCTTGAAAACCTTAAACATATTAATTGCTGTTTTAAAGTCATCTGCTAACTCAGTTATCTGGATGTCCTTTATCTGGATTTATTTTCCCCTGATTTGGTTATAATTTCTTGCTTCTCTCCATGTCTAATAACTCTTTTATTGTATTACAGATATTGTATATAAAACATACAGATATTATATACAAAACATTTTCCAAGAGAGGTCTCCTTTACTAATAGGCAGATTGGTTGGAGGTGAGCACACCCTCAGCCCATGAGGGGCTGAGTTCAGCCTTAGTAAGACTTAGTAAGACTCAGTCTACTTCTACTCTTGCCTCTGCTCCTTGGGAGTTGTCCCTCTGGGCTTTTCCTCGACAGCCCGGGAATCTTTATTTCCTCAGCCCCGAGAAACTGTGGGAGATCCAGGTCTGTCCTTCAGGGATCCCCAGCCCAGCAATCTCGTCTCCTTCCCCACCCAGCTTCAAAATGGGCACAACTGTGTTAAGGGGGACAAGCGTGTGTGTTTAATCCAAGCTTCTTCCTCTTCTATTTGTTGCCCAAATACCATAAGGGTCTGAGAGATTTCATTTTGTACTTTGGAAGCTTTGGCTCAAAGTCCTCAGCCTCCCCTGCAGGCCCAGAAATCAGCAAATGGCCCTTGGGAAAAACTCACTCTGCACTTAATTTTCGGTGTATTTTTCTAGCCCACCACAACCACTAAAAGCTTTGCCAGTTTCTCTCTTTCCTGGCAGTGCTCTTCCTGTGGGTCACGCTGGATCCTAGGCCCAGGTGCACTTCGGAGTGGCTTGCCTTCCCTGTCCACTCCCCCAGGAATTCTAGATCTTTCAGTTCTGGTTGTTCCCACCCTTGTAGCTCATGCCTTTCAAAATGGGACTTTAAAAAAAAAAGAAAATCTATCCAGATTTTGTGGTTCTTTGTAAAGAAAATATTGGCCTACATGGCCTACTGGGGCACCACCCTACACTTGTAAACTCTGAATAACAGTTAATTTAATAAAATAGGGGGAAATAAATATGAGTGTGTCACATAGCCAGATTAAGAAGTGAACCCATATCAAACAAACTTCTCCCATAATTAAATTAAGTCAAATAATATAATGAAATTTTCCCCTTGCAGTTGTCACATCTCCACATTATAATAAGCATTATCATTAGGGGAGCAGAGAGCCAGCATAGTGATCCACTATTGCTGGGAGAGTAAACTGCTACGGTTTCTTTGGAAACAATGTTGGTGACATCCGTCAAAAGTTTAATGCACAGGGGCGCCTGGGTGGCTCAGTGGGTTAAAGCCTCTGCCTTCGGCTCAGGTCATGATCCCAGGATCCTGGGATCGAGCCCCGCATCGGGCTCTCTGCTCGGCAGGGAGTCTGCTTCCCCCTCTCTCTCTGCCTGCCTCTCTGCCTACTTGTGATCTCTGTCTGTGAAATAAATAAATAAAATCTTAAAAAAAAAAGTTTAATGCACATACATTTGCTCTAGTAACTATGCTACAAGGAATTTATTGTATGAAATATACTTGCACACCTGTGCAATTCCAGATGCCTAGCATTTGTTGCAGTATCTTTTGTAATAATAATTAAAAAAAAACCCTGTAATCAAAAACTAAATTTCCCTCAATAGGTTAAATAAATGATATATCCATACAACTGCTACAACGGAAAAAATAAATACGTGTATGTACGTTTATTTTCCAGAACCAAATGGAAACATTTGTGAACAATGGTTACTTCAGAGAGAAGGACTAGGGACAGAGCGATTTCTACTTTACCTCTTATACCCGTCTGCACGGTTTGAACATTACTGTTGACATATACTACCTGTGACAAACAACTGTTTTTAACAAGCACTGATATTTAAAAATTCATGCTAGCATAATTCCAAGTGTAATTACAAAAGGCGCTCGAGTCATACTGGCACTTACATGTCACGTTGCTTAAACAAATCCCGCCAATAGGATCACTAGCGAGATCCCTCGGTTTAGTCTAAGATTCCCTCCCAACCGAATAAAATCAACCATTTTATATGCCTTTTGTATTAACTTATTGAAGGTGATACGGTAAGAAACAGCAAATGTAAGCGAACTCACTAAAAACATGAGACATGTCACATGCACGTTTGTGTGCGCGTTATGTGCCGTGGGTATTTATTTTATTCATACATTACCACATATTCTCCTTAATCAGTGCTTCCTCCTTCTTGGGAAGTCATAGACCCCTCTGAGAATCTGACGAAAAACTCTGCCCCCGCAAAGATACAAATAGGCGTATGTACCACATTCTCCATTCATTTCTCAGGGAGTTCACAGAATCTCCGTAGCCCAAACAGAGACCCACAGGTAAAAAGAAAACAAAAATACAACACTGCAAACTCATTACCTTTGCATTCAGGCAGCGGGCCACTCCATTCTCCTTGATCACCCTTAACAGTACAATAAATAGAGTTCTCTCCGATCAGGGTGAGGCCTTTCATACATGCATATTTTACAGCCTGTTGATACACATAAGTGTTCTGTGGATCTAGAATGACTCCGTTGCTAATTTTTGGTGGTTCTGGACAAAAAATTTCTTTAAAAAAAATTCCAACATATTTGACATTAATAAAACTGCCAATTACTTACTTTAATAAGTAAGATTAAAGCATGTTAAATAACTTATTAAAAAAAGTAAAAATCAACCGTTTTTTCTAAGTTCAGCATTATCAACCAGGGAGTTTAAAAATGCCTATTAAGTAATGAGTAGAGTATTTGGAGCTTTGGATACAAATGGTGTAAAACTAAATGCTAACTTTGAGACCGACGTATAGAAGTAAGATTTAGAACATATATGTGAAGCAAGAATTACAATAAAGTCCTCACACATTACCTATCACAATTGTGCTGGGGAAAGCAAATACTGCTGGAGTTCAGAGGTAAAAGCAGGGCATTTTAGGAGGAAATGGAACTTGAGCTTAATACTGAGATACACCCTTCTGCTAAGAGAGCAGAGAAGAGGGCATAGCTCTGCATTCCAGGGGAAAGAATGCCAGATGAAAGGAGCCTGGAAATCAAGTGGCATACTTTGGAAGCAGGAATAGATGGTTCTGATGTGTCAATATTAAACTTTGACTCTTAGGATAAAATTTTTTTTAAGCATACGTTGACACACTGCCTTTTAGTTCAAGTAAATGTACTGAGCAACTGCATTTGGAAAACAGATACAAGCAGAGTTGTTCTGGTCATATTATAAAAAGCGGCCCCTCCCTGGCAGTAGTTCTGATAAAAAAAAAAAAAACCGCAGTGGCTCCACCTTGTCTAGAGCGAGGGAAGCAGTGGGATCACGTGTGTATGTCAACCATGTTGCATCGAGTGGCCTTAGGTAACCAGAGAATATTAGCAAACCTGTAAGTTACTTTTAGATCCCTGGCCCCGATCAAAGCCAGGAACCAGAACAGGCCAATCTGCTTCACACAGGGCTAAGGTACATCGCTATCAGTGCCGTCCAGAGACTTTCTGAGCACCTAACACATACCGGGCATTGTTCTATAAATGCAGCTGCAAAACTAAATAAAATATTCAATCGTAGGTCTTAAAATATAGTGACAGGGGCGCCTGGGTGGCTCAGTCAATTAAGCATCTGCCTTTGGCTCAGGGTGCTGGGATCAAGCCCTCCCCTGGGCTCCCTGCTTAGCGGAGAGCCTGCTTCTCCCTCTCCTGCTCCCCCTTCTTGTGTTCTGTCAAATAAATAAATAAAATCTTTAAAATGAGATAAAATACAGTGACAAAAAAGATTCAAAGATTTTCATTTTAATGCAAAATAGTGAGGCTTATCACAGAAGTGTGCACCATGGTGTGGAAAGCAAGAACAGTTAACCAGCAGGGAGGTGCCAGAAAGCTTCTAGAAGGTCTATCAGAGCAAACCCGTAATAAGAAAAACAAAACAAAAAAACAACAAAAGAAAAAAGGAAAGAAAGAAAAGAAAAGAAAAAGGAAAAGAAGCAAAGGAAAACAAAAAGCTAAGCAAAGAAGGGGCTGAAGGGCATTCCAGGCAGGGGCAGTAGCAGAGGGAAAAATAGGGAGGTTTGCGTGGATAGAGCCTAAAGTATGAGAGCAAGACATGAGCATGAAGTGGGCATACCATGGTGACTCTTGTACGCTTTACTAAGGAGTCTGGACTTTGTAAGTGGTGAGGAGACATGTACAAGCTTTAGGATCCATGTTTCAGATGGATCACTTTGGGTAGAATGTGGATGTAACATCAGTGGAGTCCAAGAATGGGGGCCACTGCATTCAGTGTCACCTCTGAACTCAGGCAAGCGGGACTCCTGCCCCAGCTCCCACATTTTAAGAGGCTGTGGCCCTCTTCTGACTATGCTTCTCCCCACCAGTGGGATATCTGCAGGGCTGAAGGTATACTCCGAGAGCTGCTCCCCTACCCCACTGTAAATCATGCTCTAGGAAGAAGTGGCCCTTAGAATTCCCTCTTTTTTTCTTTTTCTTTTAATATGGAACACTATAAATTTGTATGTTATCCTTGAAGGGCCATGCTAATCTTCTATCATTCCAATTTTAATATCTATGTCTCATGGTCTCAATTGTTGAGAACAGTCTATACTCCTGATACATACACCTGTAGTCCAAAGTTCAGAGACACGGATGGGGGGAAAGGTCTCAGGGCACATGTCTTGGGGCATGTGGGCCAAGCTGTGTAGGTACATGCATCAGAGGCTTATCACAGTGCCAGAGTGGATACATATTCGGGTAAGTTTGCTGTCCAAACTCACTTTAGTATCACTTACAGCATCCCTTACTAGACGGCAGAAATGGTAAAGGTGGGTGGTGGGTAGTAATGCTGAAAATTTTGAAGTACTAATAATGGGAAAAAGGGAAGTAGCAGACATAGGAGAGTAGAGCTCAAGACGGTGTGCCAAGGGCGTCCCTGCGTGCGACCAGCTCACCCCTACAAGCTCTTTGTTGGCCAGACTTCCTTTTGTACATCTCCCTATCAACTGACCCCATACCTTCCCCACCACAGTGTGTCAATCAAGACTCACCTGTCAATTCCATTAAGCCTAGTCTAGTTTTCTGCTCCTAATAATAACAAAAACTTGAACTTAGTGATAATTTTAGTAAAGTTGGGAGAAATAATAAAGCCTACATTTTTAAGCATTGCATTTTTTCTTAAGAGAAAAAAAGAAATATGTTGCACATATTTTACTCTTCTCAATTTTCAGGAGACATATGTCTCTAGTGGATATAAATTTGACTGGATATATACATTTATTTTTTAAAAAATATTTATTTTTTTTATGGATTTTATTTATTTATTTATTTGAGAGGGAGAGAGTGAGAGAGAAAGAGAGAGCATGAGAGGGGAGAGGGTCAGAGGGAGAAGCAGACCTCCTGCTGAGCAAAGAGTCTGATGCAGGACTTGATCCTGGGACTCCAGGATCATGACCCGAGCTGAAGGCAGTCGCTTAACCAACTCAGCCACCCAGGCACCCCTGGACACATGCATTTATGATACTATTTCTATACCCTATCTCCCTAGAAAATAAGATTCCTAAGGGCAGAAATCATATTTCTTCTTTATTGTATAACTTATTTCTCTAATCATGAAAAACCAATCCCATTTCAAAACATTTATAGGCAATTAGCTCAGTTCATAATCGTAAAAGAGGAAATACCGAATTTTAGAAAAATGATGAGTTTGACGTCCAACTAACTAGAGAGTTTAGGTTTTTTTTCAGTCTTACCTTGGCATTCAGGCAATGGATCACTCCATCCAACATCGTCATCTACAATGGAACAGTAACTAGAAGCTGCACCGACTAACCTGTACCTAAACCAATGAGGGGAGGAAAAAAGTTAGGTCCCATCCACACATTTGGCTTCCCTTAAATTCTCCAAAATGTCATCTTAAAATATTTACTACACCAGTAGAGGGAGACAAAACAACAGCAGATCAAAATTCACATGGCCATTTAAAGGAAAAGAAAAAATTAAATTAGAAAAGGTGATATCCAAAGGGTAAAAAAGTGTAAGACACAAAGAGTTTTTTATCTGGGTGGGGTCCTCGTGAGAAAACAGTAAAGTGTTCTGAAACATTTTAAGTGATATAGATGCTTGAATGTTTTATATTTCTGAATTCTAAAGATCAACAGAGGCTTCATAGAATAATAGAACATACTTATATTTTAGGGGCTCAAGGTACTCCCCAGATTTGATATTAATCCTATTAACGATCCAAGCATCTCTGTTTTGTACAGGAGACACATGATGTTGATATTTTTAATTTTATAAGGAGCAGGAACACCCACATACACACAAAGTAAAATAACATAATTCAATTTGCAGATATTTAATGAGAAAATGAACATAAAAAGCTTCCAGCTGTCTCTGAGACACTAAGGAGACCCAAAGAGTGAGTTCCTTTTCCCTACATAGAGAACTCAGAGACGACCTCAGGTCAGCATGACATTTTTACACTAGGAGTAAATGTTTTTAACACATAATATTTTGTAACAGGCAGTTTGCATACAGAAAAAAAATATGCAAATTCATTATTTAGGTAAAGTAAGGATTGGTTTCATTTGAACATTTGAAGGATTTAATTTCTGCAAGTGCCAACCTATTACAAGATTTTTCCTTTACTACTCACATTTAAACTTTATAATGAATCATATATGTACTAAAAATCTAACAGTAGAGAGAATTTGGTGTTATAAGAAATTGTCCTTTCTTGCCTCCATTTTATTAAACTTAACCATGACGGCCTCATGATAAAAGATCTTTGAGCACAGGAGCTGGTTGACTAGCTTGTAAACACTGACCACGAATCTAAAAACTTCCACCTTAAGTCCTAATTGGTTTTTGCATTTGTTAAATATAGAGTATAAAGATGTAGTATGCCAAAACTTACCCCTTGTTACACGAGAAGTGGATAACTGCAGCATACAATATGTCAGTTGGAATGCTGACATGACCATGTCTTAAATCTCCAGGATTAGGACATGATTTTCCTAGAAGAGAGCTCAAATTGATTTTTTTTTTCATTAAATTATCAGGCACTTCTAAGCAAATCCATCATCTGAACTACCGACATTTCTTATCCTTAAACTTCTAAAATCCTGCCTTCATTTTGTAAGATTCAAATAACACACCAGATTTAGAATATACACTTATTACATTTTAGGTAACCTTAAACTAATTAAATGGGAAATCTGTGAGTAAATGAATACTCCCACCTCACAAGTATTTAGTTGGCCTAATTTAAGACAAAATTATAAAATTACTCGAATGGTTCTTTTCAGAATCATTACTCGAAGTAATAATATGGACACAAAGACTTCCAGCATGAATGAAGGAAGAAATATTATTTCCCCAAATACCCTACAATTACGAATACTCTGTAAAAATTATACTCACTTTTACAAAATTCATTGGGTTTGGACCATATAAAATTCGGAAGGCAAGTTAGTTTTCCTGAGAGAAGATGGTCCCTTTGGTAGCCAGGTCGGCATTCATATTCCACAATGGAACCCACTGGGAAATAATTCTGTTTGGTGAAAGACTTTTTGAGAGATGCAAATTGTAGCCTGGTTGGAACGTCACAGCTACCTAAAAGTATTAACAAAAGCAACAATGTAACTAAAACCACCTTCTTTGACAATCTAGGTTTAATGATCCAGAATTATCTGGACCTTACGTCATCCCTTTTTCTGTACTTCTTCATACACATTTGATATTTAACGGTATTAATATCACTATGACACTTACAGCGCATCAAGCATACTAACATATATACTTCTATTTCCTAAGTAGTTAATTTGGCACCTAGATATCATCATGCCCACAGTTCAGGAAATATAACCCATTATAGTTGCCTGACACAGTTCTGCCCGTGACCCCTGCCTGCCCAAAGGAGGACAGGGGTGAGAGGAGAACAGTGTTTCCTTCAGACCCCTGGGGCTAATGTCTGAACAACAACAATAACTAACAATGATAGCTAATATTTATTGGATACTTCTCCATGTTTTATACACATAAACTCATTTCATCCTCACAACAACCCAGAAGTCCATGAATCAGGTGAGCCAGTGGTGTACAAAGAAGTATTTATAAATGGTAACATCTGGGCAAATGTTAATGTATAGAGACATGGTAGAGGGGACGGGACATTGGATTTATAACCCAAAGACTGAAGTTTGGACCCTGGCTCTCCTGTGTAAGAACTGCTGATTTCAAGAAGTTACTTAACTTCTGGGGGTCTGTCTCTCCAGACTACTTCCTGACCGAAGAATGGGAATAAGGGTCCCTACTCCACTCATGGGGTTGTCCACCCATGACTTCAATGGAGTCAGCTATGCAGAAGCATTATAAACTCTAAAACATGATACATGTGCAAAAGCTTAAGTACTTCAACCACTTGGAAGTGCCTTCTGTCCCGCACTGACACAAAACCCAAAGGTTCAAGCTGATGTCACACCTGGCTTCATAAAATACTTGAGGCAGTTTATAAAATTCCCATACATTCTAGGACTCCAGATGGTCCAAAGCTAGGAACCAAGTCTCATCCTTACCTTTACTCATCTCTGTCAAAGTTACCATAGGACTATGCATCTAGTGATAGATTTTGAGGGAAATACAGGGAGCTTTTTAAAAGGCTACCACAGAGTTGTGCTTGATGAGTCCTACTTTACAAAATGAAACTTAAGAACACAGAAGACTATGTTATGTGTCATGGGGAGATTGCCAAACATATTCATATATAATGTACTGCCTAAATTGTACCTATTGTTTATTTTCTCTATTAGTTCAGAAAGCCCACACCTGTTAATGAAGAAGCAGGACCTATTCTGGGGAGGAATGTCAATTAGCTGCAGCGGGAAATGCCAGGTATACATACCCTGGGATTTCATAATGCTTGAAAACTATGAGTTACCGCTCATGCTGAAGAGGGATAAAAGTAAGCTAAGCAGATACATTCCATTCCCGTAATGTATATATACAAAAATGAAGAGCTTACGGTTACAAAATTCTGCCACCTCTGACCATTTATTGTTGAGACAGACCACGGAGTCTGCCTTGCCAGGAACCTTTACAAAGCCTTCTTTACATTTGTATGTTACTGTGGTTCTTTCAGGAAAACTCTGGCGGTCACCCTCAGTTTGTATGGCATTAGGTACCTCTGGGGGAAAGCTGCAGTCACCTAGGGAGGGGAAGAAAAGAAAAGAAAAGTAGAACTGAAGGAAATAACACTTTTCAGTTCAGAGCAACATTCTTTTTGCAAGAGGAGTAAGGGAAGCAGCCAAAGGCTTCTGAGGCACAGGTAACATTTCCATACCGACAACTTGCTAGGCTGCTTGTCTTGTCAATTAATTCAGTATTAAAATAAGGAATCGACCCTTTTCTTTCAATATTTAAAAATATTTTTATTTCTTTATTTATATTGAAAATATTTATTTTCAATTAAAAAAAAAGCGGTTTAGAATTGATCCTGTTACTAAGCGCACGATACAGACAGACGCCCCCGGGGAACGTCACACCTGGAAGAGAGGACGGGCTAACATGCCGCGTCCCCAGCAGCCCACAAGTGGACTCCGTTTAAGAGGCGACAGAGGTCAGCCGTGGCCTCCCACTGCTAAAGAGATGTTGGGGGACTGAGAATTCACTCTTCGAGCCCTGCCCTTTGGCCTCCCCAGCTGTGCCTGCTCCGCCAACTCAGCCCGCGCTTCCTCAACGGTCCCCGCCTCACTCCCGAAGTCACGCCAGCTGGGGTCCAGCACAGCAAGACCCCAAACTGCGGGTTAGCAGCGGAGATCCCGTCCCTGTCCCCCAGGGATCGTGCTAGTAGGCGCTCCGAGCCGTACGGGTGGAGGATTACGGGAACAATTCACCTATGCCCACATTCCTCTCCTCCCCAGGTCCCCAGACTTCTTGGTTGTCACGGAGACGGATCCCGCCCCTCCCACCCAGCCTCAGGGTTCCCCCAGCGGGGCTGGGCCCCCCAGCCCCCACTCACCCTGCGCCGCAGGCGGACACAGCAGCAGCAGCAGCGGCAGCAGCAGCAGCGGCGGCGGGGCGATCAGCCCGCCGAGGAGGCACATGGCGCGCGGGGACGGGGACCGGAGTTAAGTGGAAGCTCGCTCCAGCAAGGAGCGGTAAGTAGCCGCAGCGCCTAGCAGTTCCGCCCGGCGAGTTAAATTAGCGCCTGGGCGGGGCTGGGGCTGTGAATCACAAAGGGTGGGGCGAGGAGACGGCTGGAGGAAAGTTGGGCTCGCACCAGGTGCCGCGCAGCGCGAGCGCCGGGGAGGGGTGCTCTCGCGGTCGCCTCCCCTAGAGACCGTGGACTGGGGACCGGGGTTAATGGGTCGGGAGTGGGGCTCCCCGACTGGTCGCCTGGACTCTCTTTTTCTCTTTGCTAGGGTGGGGCCTGCGAGGAGCTCCCATCTGGACTTGTAAATATCTGCTCTCCAAGTAAACAGAACGCCGGGGGCACCGCGGAGAGGGGCGTGGCTCAAGCGGGAAGGGCTTTGCTCGCGGGAAATGTGCAGTAGGTTTAGAGGTAATTCAGAGGTCCTGAGTGCTGCCGGGCTGAGCAGAAAGTGCGGTGGGTTCCCAAGTAGCCCCTGGAAACATAAAGAGTCCCCACCCAGGGACCTGGTGCCTTCAACTGGAGGTCTGTCAGATGTCAACAAGGGATAGGAAAAAATAGGAAAAAAAACAACAGTGTTGTCTCCTAGCACACTCCGTAATCTGAAAACAGCAAGTGGGAAATGGCCCAAGAAAACAGGTCAAGCAATACAGCAAGGAGTGACCATCGTTCATGCTATGTTTTGGGTGGGAATCACTTTCCTCGCCAGGGTACTCCTTATTCACGGAGGACAGCTTTTATTCCGCTTTGGGACTATTCTGGTCAGACTGCTGGGAGAGACGCACCGTCATGTGGAGTGTGCCTGTGCGATGGGTGGAGAGAAAAATGTCAAAACAAAAACCAAGCGCCAGAAAACGAAATGATAGGGTGGTGGTTTTAAGAGGAAGGTTTGTTAGAAGACCTTAAGTATATTCCAGTGGTTTGCAAGACTATCCACACATTAGAGTTACACGGGGGAGCTTTAAAAAAAAAAAATCCAGACGCTCAAGCTACACCTCAGACGAGTTAGATTAGAATCTCTGGGGATGGGAAGGGAGCAGCAGGATTATTTAAAGAATTCCAGGTGAATACATTGGGCAGCACAAATCTATATGAGGCTGGTCAGAGTAAAGGTCTCCCCTCCCACCCAGCCCCGGTCGGGATCTGTCCCTGTCAGAAACATGAAAGGACATTGATGGAAAGTCCAGCTACTCATCTTCATAGAGAGTAACCCCAAGAACATTTCCGTTTAGTAATTCACCTGAGTCTGATTAGTGGAGTCTATCCTCAGTTTCCTATCCCCTGGAATACCTTCCCTGGTTCAATGAAATCCTTGACTTGGAAATGCATCTTGGTCCATGGGTCAGATGTGGGATATTTGTGGCATCTAGTCTTGATATTCTTTCCTAAATGTTTTTGATCACTCTTTTTCGGTTAGTAAGAGCTTTATAAGAAGGAAAATAACAGTTTTCTCTGTTTCTCTGGCTCATGCTTACTGTAGCAAAATGAATAAACCTTGTATTACTGAGTGCTGGAACCAATTGTATAGGGATTCCAAGAAAGGAACTCTTATAGGTTTTCATGGAAACCTATCAGTATTAAGACATTCTAGAGTTTAGAAGTTGAGTAGAGGGACTTTTAAAATGACATAGTCTTGGGGTGCCTGGGTGGCTCAGTCAGTTAAGCATCTGCCTTCATCTCAGGTCAGGATCTCAGGGTCCTGGGATACTGCATCAGGCTCCCTGCTCAGCGGGGAGTGTGCTTCTCCCTCTCCCTCTTGTGCTCTCTCTCCCTCTCAAATAAATAAATAAAATCTTTAAAAAAATAAAAAATAAAATTATCTAGCATGATCCTCTTATTTGATTTTTAAAACACTTTGCTTTTACTTCCATATGTGATAGAAAAACACAAAGTATATCAGGGCCCAGCAGTGTTTTAGAATTGATACCAGATCTTTGTTTATTCTCCCATGACTTTATCCACCATTCCTTTCTGTTCCACCATTATAGGCCGGCAATCTTTATTCCTGCTTGAGCTCAGAGAATTGGTGTGAAAGGCAAGGTGGCATTATGGAAAAGAGCTGAAGGTCAAGGCCAGTTATGGAGCTGTTGGAAGACTTAACATCAAGACCCATTAGAGCTCTCTGTTTATTAAGTGATTGTAATACCTTTTTATTCAGGAAAACAATGAGCTCTGGATAGTGTTTTTAAAAAAGATCTCTAGCACCCAGTTTAGCTACACTAAGTGCTCTACACATTCACCTTCTCAAATATTTTGTTCTTGGTATTATTTTTTTTTAAAAAAGGAACTTTTCCAAGAATAACTGGGTGGGACTCTTTAGTCATACTATGACTACCCCCCCAAAAAAATTTCAACATTCTGAGAGCAAAGGGAAAGAAAGAAATCCACTACCATTTACTCAATTTAGAAAAAAGGATCTGTGATAAAATTCTATGCATTAAGAAAAATGAAATATGCAAGTCTGTGACTTACCAAGAATTATTTTAAATAATGGCTTCAATGTGTGGTGTTCTACTCATTTCATACACATGACACCATGTCACCAACACCCATTTCACCAAGTGGAGATAATTGCTCACATTTTACAGATGAGGAAAAAAACTGAAAAGCTAAGTAATTTTCCAAAATCCATGCAGCTAATAAGTGACCCAAGCCCGAATCTACACCAAGTTTGTCTGATTTCAAAATCTGTACTTCTCTGTCTCTACACCACTAAGTTCTTTTCATTGGACCCACTTGGCGAAGGTTTCTTTTATGTAGAGGACACTGAATTCAGTACTTTGGGGGCTGCTTTGGGAACCCAGCTGCTTCTGGTGTCAGCAGCTGACCCAAGCCTTCCATACTTGATCTTCCAAAAATGAGCTGTGTGTTCTCATTGAGTCACTCTACCCCTTCAAGCCTCATTCTTACACTGACTAAGCAAGAGTATGGGACTGAAAGAGCCTCTATAGAGCTTTCCAATTCCAACACAATAAGTTTATGTAATTAGGTCAAAAATATTTTTTAAAATAGCAGATAAGTCTATGACTTTGGCAGAAGTAAAGGAACATGGCTCTCACCCTGGCCCAGGAACCATACAATGACTAAATCAGAGACTTTTCAGGAACTGGGAAGCACACTGTATTCAGAGCATGTTAAGAATGTGCCAATACTTGTGTCCAAGAATCTGTAATCTACTAGGGAGGTTTTATGTGATCAATGAGGTGAGAATGCCATAGCCAATGTGGGGCGGGGGGTCAAAAAGAGAGAGAAGACCATGGTTATTGGGGTGGAGGAGGATAAGGGCCCAGGGATTCAGCTAAATATGATGAATGAACATCAGTGCAAAGGGAGAAAATAGGAAAGGTGATAAGAATGGTGTGAGCACGTACTTGCAGTCAGGAAAAGGTTAGTTGATGCCAAGAATAGTTAGAGGCTTAAGGAAGAACGTGGGGGAGCTCACTAGAGCAGTGGAAGAAAGGATTGAAGAGTCTGCCAAGAGGTGTAAGAGCTTTAAACACGAGGCTTCATCCTTTTCTGCACCCCGGAAGCACAGAGGGACTGTTGACGATGTTCAGCAGCGAAGTCCAAGGTTAGCTGGGAAGTCATACGCAAGATGGTGCCATGGGAGCGACTGTGTCAGGAAAGACCCAATTTCCCTAACTGTGCGATTGCTCAGGCTGTTAAGTTTGGGGAATGGAAATGTCTTTAGTTTTAGTTTTCAAATGAATAAATCTATGTAAAGAAACAGTCTTCTTACGCTACAAAACCCCTGACATAATTACTATAACCCCGTAAAGTGTTCCTGTCTGTCCTGATCAAAAATGTTTTGAAGGAAGAACCCACAGAATTTGCTGAGTGATTAGATAAGGAATAAGGGGGAGCAAAGAGCGTTAAGGATGACTCAGAGGTTTGGTGTCTGTGAGACGAGGGGCCCTTTTTAGAAGAACTACCCATTCCTGAGTCAAGAGGGAATTTAGGGAAGAAATAACCAGTTTGGCTGCACAGTGGCTCAATGTCAACTCCCTGGGCGGGGTCCGTGTGCAGATCGCTGTACAGCATGAGACTGGTGTACAGGGAGACTGAGTCAGAGCCTGGATGAGATGGGGCTGTGGGCAAGGTGATCAAGGGAGAGAGTGTGAACTGAAACTCAAACAGGCAACCCCCCACATTCGAGTAGAGACAACAGAAGCGGAAGGAGAGGGGAGTGGAAAAAGAAGAGGATAGTGCAATTTCCTGAAAGCCCAGGGATACAAAACTGTGAGCCAAATATTATTACTCTAGCTGCAGGTGAGGCAACTGGTGTTCAGGGAAGTTAAGTAACTAGTCCCAGACCACAAGGCTGGTGGGGGTGGAGCTGGGCTTAGGTTCTTAGACCCTCTGTTACATTGCTCAGTCAGTGTCTCATCCAGGAAGCCTCCCCTGCTTACAATGTCAGACCCAGTCCCTTCCTCTACACTACCCAAAGTCCTCCATGTGTCTGTCGGTCCTCCAGTCCAAGAGATCCATCTGTTTCATATTCGCATTCTGAACTCGGCCTAGAAACGATTCCCAACTAATTTTAACATGGCCGAGGAAAAACAAAAAACTTTCTATTGAGGTATTTTGCCATGCAGCTGCAAATGAGGGCAGTTGTACTCTGCAGAGTAAGTGGTGTACTTTTAATTAATTAATTAATATTTAAAATTTTTATTATGTTCAGGTTGCCACCACATAGTACATCATTCATTTTTGATGTGGTGTTCAATGATTCATTTATTGCATACGACACCTAGTGCTCATCACAGCACGTGCCCTCCTTAATACCTATCACCCTGTTACCTTATCCCCCCAACCTACTCCTCTCTGAAACCCTCAGTTTGGTTTTCGGAGTCCAGAGTCTCTCACGGATCGTCTCCCTCTCTGATTTCTCCGCCTTCAGTCTCCCTTCCCTTCCCTTCCCCTGTGGTCCTCCTCACCACTCCATAAGTCCCACCTATGAGTGAAACCATATAGTAATTGTCTTTCTCTGCTTGACTTAC